ACCTAGAAGCTTGTTAGACATGCAGACCCTCTGGCCCTCACCCACGCACACGGAAGCACCCTCTGCATTCTAATGCAGTCTGCAGGTGGTCGCCCACACGCACAAAGTGTGAAGCGTCGGTCTGCAAGCAGATTTGTTGCTTTTTCTTTTTCATTTTTTTTGTGTGTGTGTGTGGTTGGTCCTCTGGGCCCTCATCATGAATTTGGTCCTTTGGTTCTTACTGTTCTGACAAAGAGAAGAAAAAGAAAAGAAAAAAGTGAAAAAGCTTGAACTGAATTTACTGAGGTGAAGAGCCATCTCCCCTTTGCTTTTATTGTGCCTTCTGATGGTAAGTTCTCCTGTTGATTTTTACCTGCTTTTTTGCCATACCAGTTATACGCAAGCAAAAACAGTTATGAATTTTGTGTTCGCTTACGTGCCATTCATCTGAGAAACACTAGCTGAATGGGGAAAGCTGTGCCCAGGGAAACCGCGCCACGTAGGAAATACTCAAAAGCCAGCCACATCTCAGCCAATCACCAGACACCTCATGCTCTGTGTGGGTTTCAGCCACACCGTCCACTCGTGGGGTCACAGCTGCTCGTGGGATTTCAGGTGGCACTTTGCAAAAACAATGAAGTGCAGACCTGTTGCCCACTTGCACGGTTTTTTTTTCAATGTAAGCCTTTTCTAAGGTAATGTTCCATATTCAATTTGGCATTCAGATAAAGTGGTCTACAGTTTTTATTAGCTTCCTGTCTTACGTGTTGTTGAAGTTTCTGAGTATCGCTCCCCAATCCCCCATCTTCCCCACCAGTCCTGTAGTTTTATTGTGCGATTCTGTGCCGTGTGGTGATCTTGAGGAATGCACGTCCCATTGTAGCGGACTTGATGCTAACAGTAGAGTCTCAAGATCAAGAGAATCTCAGAAGGAACTGGTTCTGTCCATTCTGCCTTGGCCTGGGTGAAAATGCCCTTCCCACACTCCTCTCCAACGCCCCTGCATTCCGCCTCCCAGTGTACCCCGTTCCTGCCGGCCCGCCACTCCAGGGGGGCGGGGACAGCCTGTCCTGCTCTTTCTTGTTCCTCCAGTCCCAGTGCAGCGACCGAGGCGTCGTAGGTGCTCAGCGATGATCTGAAATGCGACTGTGAATAGAGGGACTTTCATACTCATTTAGAGAATTCAGACGTTTCTTTTGACTTGGCAACCAGAATGGTTGTTAATGATGTGTTTTGAATATTACAGATTATGCTGGGGGGCGGGGGGAGAGGTGGGGGGGGGAGGAGGTGGGGGCAACAACCGTGACAGAAGGAGACGGGACCTGCGGCCGTGAACACACAATGCAGTGTGCAGATGACGCGCTGTGGAATTGAGCACCTGCAACTTGCATCACTTTGTTAGCAGTGTCACCCCATAAATTCAATGAAAAGGAAAAAATAAAAACTACGAATTATTAGTAAGGAAAATTTAAGGTAGTTAGCTGATACTTGAGATGGCAGAAACATTCTCGTTCTGACACTTCAACAATCAACCAGTTTTTACAGGTTTCATAATGGGCGTAATAATGGAGTAGAACGGGCGTCATTGTTTCTAACTAAGAAATTACAAATCCCGTGAATATTTTCTTTAAAAATTCTTAAATTCGTTGTACAAGGTTGGGCAAAAGTAGGAAAAGGAGTATTGTTTCATGGAAATCAATGTGATAACTAATAGCACAAGAATAAACTGTCTCACGCACTGACAACAGTAAGCCTACTTTGCCCTCCCCTGTATAGAATCGAAGAAAAGCCATCATCAGGCGAAGAGTGCCAAGTTGTTGTTTTAAATTCAGATAGAAGGTGAAAACTTAGAGAAATAAGTAACGCACCCGATCCTCGGCCTTCGTAATGAGAAGGAGCATTTGGCCAGGCTCCTCTCCCTCCTCTCCCTCGCCGGCTGTGAGGGAGAGGAGCCTTCTCCTTTATGCCTTTGACTGTTCGCGCTTCGAGATTGTCACAGCCTCAGTCAGTAGCTCTTTGCTTTCTGACTCCACTTGAATCTTCTTCTGTGCTGTTTGGTATTTTCCAGGTCCATATTCCCCAAATAAGGACGTTTATGTTCAGGGGAATTGTGGTAGTTCCTCAAAAGGATCAAGTTTCTGAGTTTAGAAGCCACAATAGTTATGTTTACCCATGATATTGCCTATTTAGTGTGTAAAAGTGTTTTCTCATATGAGACTGAGTCTCTGAATGTCAGTGTGGGTTAAAGGGCTCAGGTTCTACCCTCACTGTTCAACTTTTCTCAAAATGACAGCCTTGATTTTCCATTGAGGTATTTTAATGGGTGATCTTCATTAACTTTTCCATAAAACCTGTGAAAGTAGATATTTTGTTAATTACCCAAAAGGTACTCTGACACAGATACTATTTCTGTATGAATAGTAAAAATATCTGTGTTATAAACCCACAGGAAGTTGTGAAATTTAAGAATATTTCCTTGTACACTTTCTTAAGAAGTTGAGTACTTTTATTTTGATATAATTACAAACCTATGGAAAAATTTCAAGTGCAAAAACCTCTTTACCTAGATTCAGCAGTTGTGTGCACTTTGTCCCATCTGCTCTGTCATATTTTATCTGCCTTCACACGCATAGTTCCTTTTTTTTAAGGATTATATATATTTATTTTTAGAGAGCGGGGAAGGGAGGTAACCACCATGCTGTTGTCTGTGTCTGTGAGTGTTTTTCTTATTTATTCATTTGTTACTTTCAGTTTTATGTCCCACAGATGAGTGAAATCATGTGGTTCTTAACTTTTCCTGACTTAGTTCACTTAGCACGATCATCTCGAGTCCCATCCATGTTGTCACAAATGGCGGTGTTTCGTCTTTGCTTGTGGCCGAGCTGTAGGTCTGTACCATGTTCTCCGTCCAGTCACCTGTCAAGGGGCACTTTGGTTGTTGTTCTGTCTGGGCCACTGTGAATAATGTCGTAGTGAACGAAGAGGTGCATCCATCTTTGCGAATGCATGTTTTCAGATTTTCCAGGTAGATTCCCAGAAGAGGGGTTGCTGGGTCATAGGGTAACTATTCTTTAAGTTTTTGTGGAACTTCCATACTGTTTTCCATAGTGCCAAAGGGCCTGAACAGACACCTCTCCCAAGAATACACACAAATGGCCAACAGACATATGACATGATGCTCAACTTCAGTGGCTGTTAGGGAAATGCACATCAAAACTACAGTGAAATGCCACTCGACAACTGTCAGAGTGAATGGCCATGATCAACAAGACCAGCAATAACAGGTGTTGGGCAGGCTGTGGAGAAGGAGCCCCCATGCATTGCTGGTGGGAGTGCAAACTGGCGCAGCCACTGTGATTTTCTTAATGTCTTCTCTTGTAGAGAAACTTCTGATTTTTATAAATTCACATGCTATGGCTATTGCTTTCTGTGTTATGGCTATTGCTTTCTGTGTTCTAAGAAATCTTTGCCTACCCTCAGTTCAAAAATTATTCTCTTCTGGATTCTTTTACAAGCATTATTATTTTTATATTTTTTGTTCAGGTTTATTTTCTATTACAGATTAATTTTTATGAATGGTTTGATGTGCCATAATACAGACTAGAGCTTAATGTTATTTTTCTCTTCGTTCAGATCCACATTTCTTTATATGTATATATATATGTGTGTGTGTTTTTATATATGTATATGTATTTTTAATTATTTTATTGTTGTTCAATCACAGTTGTCTGCATTTACCCTCCACCACTCCCCTCCACCCCAGCCATCGACACCCAGATCCACATTTCTGAGTGTTTTCTTTTTAAACAAGAAAAAAATTATGATTTTAAGTTTCTCTAATTTGATATATTATGCTTTTGGAAAAGCTGAGTACATCAACATTAATATAGAAACTTGTAAGTTTAGAGACTATAGAAGCAGGTGAAAATGAGCTTATTTCTTTATGATCATGGAAATAATTAGAACATTTTAATATGTTCAAAAGAATAGGTATATTACTAAGTTTACTATTTCTACATTAGTAAGAGGCTTAGTGTGAGAACCTTTTCATTGTACACACTATGCAAATAAATGGATAGTATTTTTAGTTTTTCAGATGAAATCATCATTTTTTACTTAACTTGCAAAGTGATTTGATTGCCATGGTATATCTCTTTTATTGGTGGTCTAAAGTCTGTCAGGCTTTCCATTCAAAACCCCTATTTTCAGGAGTTTATGAGCAGACAGTTGAAAAAAAATTAACCAACCAGAATCTTGGCACTCGTGATCTTGGTGCAATAGAAGGTACTTACTGTAACAAAATTTTAAATAGTCAGCTCTTTTTTAAAATTGTAAGCAGCACGAAGAGGAATAAAGGAATTTCTTTGGTTATATAAATAGGGAATATTTTTCCAGACAACTTACCCCAATTCAATTTACAAAGCAAACTTTTCCCTTCTAGAAATCATGTAAGTATGTAGGGTCCCATGTTCCAGTTGCCACAGGATCTTGCCTCAAGACCTTTTTCCTTGCTATCTTTCCGAGTAAATCTTCTTTACCCCTCTCCTCTTTTTCTCCCTATTTCTGTTTCTTTTCACTCTCCATTATACATTCACAATAAAAATGGCTTTACATTTTGACCTTTTTTTTGTCCCTTTTCTCCACATGGCCCTGCCTACTCAAGCAAACAGTGTGTGATGACCTATGGACTAGGAAACAATATTAACTCTGAGAGAAATACTATAAATAGCATTGATTTTCTTGAAATTAAATTTCTGAAATCCAAACTTTAAAAACTATTCTGAAGAGCTGTCCCTTAAAGAGCAGACATTTAGTCAAATTTTTTCCTTCTTCCGGCGGGTGTGAATGTCAGCTTGAACGCTTTCACATTCTGTTTTTAACCCCCATCATTTGCATGGGGAGCACTTAACTACTATTGGTCCATAAAGGTGTCTGCGGGTTTTTGGTTGCTTTTATTTCACTTCTTTTTTTTAAAGAAAAAAAAATCATTTCCTGAAAGCCTAGTACAAAAATGTGACCTGATGAAGGAAGCAAGATAATCTTCTGGAAATCTTTACTTTTGCTCTACTCTGAAGGTAATTTGCTCCAGGCAGGAGATTTTTGGGTGCTGCCGAAATTTCGGAGATCTGGGAAAATGGGGTAATAGAATAACACGACACCAGCTCTTAAGCAGCAACATGTGTTGTGGTTCAAAGCCACACAAAGAAAGCTACTTAAGCAGTTGAATGTTTTGGACTGAACGGACAAGCGTGGTTCGGCTGCAAAGACTGCAGAGTGGAGGGAACTTCCAGCGTAGAGAGGTTGTTAAAAAATGGAGTCGTGGAAGATGAGCATCTTTAAGAGACAGACATCACCTGGTCCTCCGAGCTATGAGAGATCTCTATCAGCACCTGCTTGTGCCAGTTCAGGGACAGGGGGAACAAGCCCGAAGAGTTACCCATGGTGTGGTCCGGTGAAGAGCAAGAGGAAGAAGAATGAACACGATGTGTTCGGTCTAGGAAAGCCATTGGGTGCTTATCGGTGGCAAACACGTCCCAGCCTTAGGTGCAAAGGGGACACAAAGGAAAGTGTGCAGAATAATGAGGAGGACTTGGATGAACCACCACAAGAGGTCCTGCCAAAGATGGTTGGAGATCACGCGGCTGCTTCTGCTCATGAGGTCCTTGGAACACCAGCGGAGAAGGGGAACTGGGCCAGCACCCGGGCACTCCGGGTTCCGTTCAGCAGGTCTCTTTCGGAGCCAGAACCTCGCTGCAGAAACAGATCTGTTAGGCCGTGGCCGACTCCAGCGGAGCCTGAGCAGCAGGGATATTTCATCCGTGGCATTTTCTCTACTCTTTCCAATGGCTTCTCGAGGATGCTGAGTCTAAAGGGAGAGTCAACCAATGAGCCAGTAAGAGAAGGTATATTGTGATGCGTGAGGGGGAGAGGGGACCACTGATTTAGTCACTAGTGGGATTTTAATGGGTTGTGTTTCATAATAAGTAAACAATAGTAAGCCATACTATTTGCTCAGTATAAGCCAAATTTAATCAGTGCATTTCTTTAAAAGTGATAAACAGTACTTCAGAGATCCTCTTTAAATGAGTAGTAATAATATATATAAAAATAGTAAAATATGGATTTGGTTAAATAAAAGAGTTTTTGTATTATGTTAAATTCTAACTCTATTTTGGAGCCTATATAGAAGTTGCTTTTGTTTTGTTTTGTTTTGTTTTTTAACCTTTAAGTTTTCCATGTTAAATGCAGTTTAGAGGGAGAGATAATCAAATAATTTCCTCATGACAAAGTTGGGGATTAAGAAACAGAATTTTTACTATTATCTCTTTACATGTTATTAGGGAGAACAATTTACAGCAGAATTGTTTTGGCAGGTTTTAAAAAACTGAAATTTTGGTTGGCTCGTGGCACAGAAATGCACAATTTGCATGTGGAGTGAAAGATGCCAGTCTTGAATAGGTGTTCAGGTGACAAAATTGAAGCTTGTGTTTGAATCATTCCAGAAAACAGAGTCATCAAAGTTTTAAAAATCTCCTTAGGACCTGTTAAAATTTAAAAATGTTTTATGTTGATGGTAGTATTGTTAAAGCCACACACACACAAAAAAAACCCTCTTCAGTGTTTATCTGATTGCCTCGGCCGTGACCGACGTAACCTGATGAGTTGTTTCAGTCCCTCGCCGGGACCTCTGCTTGCTCGGTGTTTGCTGTTGAGCCGTGAGTGCTAGGACGTTGCTGCTGCCTCCGTCCAGCTGAGATCGTTTCTGGACAAGCTGTGACTGCTGGGCAGCCTCAGCTGGTCTTCACTGTGGGAGTGACCACATCAGCAGAGCTCTGGACTCTAAAATTGAGAATGAAAGAATGTTGTTATCGGGGTACCATTAAATCTCTTTTAAGATAGAGTTGGAGAATGCCCAAGAGTGGCGTATCAGTGAAGAATTAAGTAATTTTCCAAGTACATGTGTGCCAGTGATTCAGTGTTTTCCCTAAACTCCGTCTTCGCTAGATTTTTCTTTGCTCAGTGAGTTTTAGTGATACTATTAAATGTTTATGTTTTCTTCTTACTCTTGGCTTACACATAATTACCCAGAGTAAAATCTTTCTTGATGTGTCTTACTAACATTCCATTAAAATTTTTGGAAGACTAGATTGTCGCATTTCCGTGGTTGCTAATCTATCTGTTTCCTTGTCAGATGATCATACTCTGAGGTACAGGAGCATTAGGGGAAATTAAGAGTTTAAAATAAATTCTTAGGATCAGTGCCTCTCAGTAGTTAACATGCGTGCATTTGATAAAAGAAAGCTAGAGGTTTAAAAAAATACTTGTATTTATAAATTAGTTAACTTTTAGTTTTAGCAAATATGCCCAGCTGTCGACTGTGTGTGAGGTGTTTTGAGAATGTGTAACTGCTTTTTACACATTTTGGTCTACTTAAAGAGATATATTCTGTAGTAAAACATCCTAGTATCTTATCTGTTTGAATCATAGCATAATTATGCATGTGGAAGCACTTGCAGAGTGTAAGGTACTAGTTTATTATAAAGGATTTTAACCACACAGTCTTCCTGTCCGTCAGATCAGCAGTTTTATTGAGCAGTTAGTTACTGTGCTAGCCTGTCAGTGCTTCTCCAGTGGAGAGTCAAGCTCTTCGGACGGAACTGTACTTTTTACTATAGAGACTGGAGCTGGTTCCTGTCAGGACATCTCCTTTTCCCTTGGGGAAGCAGCTCCTCCCCAGCAGAGTCTGTGTCGGTGGTATTCCGACCTCCTGCAGCTGTGATCTTCGTTTCTCTGTCCCTGCGGTCGGCCTGGGAGACCTGCATCTGCTTCCCTCTGTGCCACTTACCATTTGTGAAATTTGATCTCTGCGCTGTTCTTTACATGTTTGTGGAATAGTAGTTCCTTCCTCACACGTGATGAACGAAATTTGAAAATGCAGTGTAAATTACAGTTTCCATACCATTTTTTCACAAATCCTATGTGAATGGAAGGGTTCTTAACAGTTGCTATTACAGTATTGTGGCAAGGTCTGGAAATATTAGAACAGAGATGTCTTTAGGACTATGTTTAAAAAATCAATATATTTATTAATTTGAAACCCACTCGTGTTTGTTACTTTTCTCCTTTGGTATGAATTGCAAGGTGTGAGAGGTATTAAATAATGTGGTAGGTATTCAAAGCATTTAAAACTCTTTGGCACAGAGCAGTTAGTTCTATGTCTATCAGACATTGTTTCTAAGAAAGTGAACTTAATTGAATAGTTATTATTTTTAAAAGATTTTATTTATTTATTTTTAGAGAGAGAAGGGAGGGAGAAAGAGAGAGGGAGAGAAACATCAATGTGTGGTTGCTGGGGGTCATGGCCTGCAACCCAGGCATGTACCCTGACTGGGAATCGAACCTGCAACACTTTGGTTCGCAGCCCACACTCAATCCACTGAGCTATGCCAGCCAGGGCTTGAATAGTTATTTTTTAAAAAATAAGGAAAAAGAGGATACCTGATTGGTGAGTTTTTATAATACTGAATGTAAATCAGTTGTAATATTTAAGTCTTAAATTCTCTGAACTCAAACTTGTTCTGAGCATGTGCATGTTCTGAGCGTAGACAAATAATCATTTCTTAGAAATGGACGCAATCACCCTCCAAGGGAAGGAGTGTATGTGCTGTGTCAGGGTCGCTGCCCAGTGTAAGAGGGAGAAGCGCAGAGGCTGCAGCACTGTTCTGTGTTCGGCTCTCCAGTCACGCAGTGTGTGTTTCTGCATCCGATACAATGTGCAGGCCCAATGATACAATAGTAAAAAACTAAGCGTTCTTCTAATAGCCAAAAGCAACTCCAGCTGCATTGGGCCCATGGCTAAGCATGGAGTCAACATGCTTGCAATAGGGGAAATAAAGTGAACCCCCCACTGAGAGAGCAATAACTGGACAGATTATGGTGTATCAGATCCACGAAGTTCCAGACAGTCTACGTTCCTGCCGCCTACTGGCTGTGTGAAGCTTAGAAGGAACTACGCAAGGGCACAGGGACCCGGGATGTAAGCCGTATCTATGTAATGCGTGTAACACTTAGAAAGTAAAAATTACCGGGAGGCAATTTTATTCCTAAATGATTGTTCTCCCTCTGTTAGTATGCAGAGGTAGGAATGAAAGCTTAAATAAATAAGAACGTAGGGTTGAATGCAAACTGTAATTGAAGAAAATATATAAGAAAGGAAACTAAATATACCTTAGATAGTTCTCCTTTCTGGTTATGGCTTACCATATTGTTAGGACTACAAGATACACCTAGGTTTTAGAGGAGGAAAATAGGAAAAAAGTTTGGAAGCAAAAAATGTGGTAAAATATTTAATAACCTGTGACCCCGCCACACCGCCGCCCCGTCCACCCCAGCAAGCCAGGAAAGCTACATTCGGACTGTAAGACGCACCCCTTTCCTCCCAAATTGGGGGGAGGGGGGTTGCATCTTATAGTCCAAAAAGTGTGGTATATTATCTCTGTCTACAATGTCATAGCATTAATATCCTCTTTTCCCAGTGTTGGTTGTATTTTCAAAGACCCCCTAACTTGGGAATTAGAAGACTTTATTTTTTGTTCTGGATAATTTAAAAAGAATGTTCTCATTTGGTTTCTAACACCTTTTTCACACCGGATCTTGTTGAAAAGGTCCTTTTTATATTAACTCAACAATTGTTTATTGAGTCCCCGAGACGCTGTTCTTGGTGCTGGGAACGTGGCATGTTGTTTGTTGATGTGCCGCTTTCTCGCTTACTCTAGGGAATCGGCAACCGTATTAGAAAATAAAGTGCTCCGAGTTCTCAAGACGCACCATAACAAACAGTGGTGAGGTCCAGTTCGTGCAAGGATGTGCCTGGTGCGTCAGGTCTTTTCTGTAACTGGACCTTCTGTTCGCTTTACGTCATGATCGGTTAAAAGAGAGGTCTCCGCAAGTTCAGAGAAATGCATTCTTCCTGCGGTTTCTCTTAAGAATCTGCATTTCAGCGTGCATAACACCCACCCAGCCAACATTTTGTCGCCCGTCTGTTGCATCTAAGCGGTCCTGAAGTTGTTGGTCCAATATTTTGTCACTCATGATATTTATGTTGTCTGTCGTTAAGCAATTTCGAAGTTAATAAATAAGTTTTTAAAAATTTAGGCAATGAACTTTAATTCTTTAGGCTATTTATATATAATTCTACTATATTTAAAATTATTCAACATGTCTGTGTATTTATTTCATTTTCAGTAAATATATTCTGGGCGTATTCATCTGCCATAACAAAACAGCACAGACTAGGTAGCTGGAAAAAACACATTGATTTCTCCCAGTTCTGCGGGCTGGAATCCGAAGAGTAAGGGGCGGGTGGGGCGCTCTCTCCCGAGGCAGGAGGTGGACTCACCCTGTTGTATTCTCCCTTGGCCTGTCGTCTGCACGCAGGGCCTCCGTGTCTCTTCCTCTTCTCCTACAGACACCAGTCCCGTTGGGTTAGGGCCCCATCTCACCGTGACCTCATTTGACCTCAATAACTTCCTTAAATTAGGCCCTGTGTCCAAACGCAGGCACACTAGGAGCCGGGGTTCCAATGTATGATCTCCAGGGGGACACAGGTCAGTCCACAGCGCCAGCGAATGAAGGTTCCAAGAAATAAGAGGTTATTAATGCAGTGAATTAGCATAAAATGTAAAATGTGACGCGACAGAGCTACATACATTCTCAAACTTTAAAAAATGTATTATGGAGTTGAGTGGCTTTAGAGAAAAATAGGCTACATCATTTTAAATTTATGTTTTATTTTTCTCACTGTACATATATGTGTATTTTTAGAATGGTTGTATCAGTCTAAACTGTGTGCTAAGTTGTCTTCCTGTGTCTTCATTGAAGACTTCCACATGTATTCACATCT